TGCAATGCCCTCAGAAGTCAGAAGAGGGTGTCGGATTCCCTGGAAATGGAGTTACAGACAGTTGTTACCTGTCATGCGGGTGTTGGGAATCAAACTTAGGTCCTCTGCCAGAACAGTCAGTGCTCTTAACCGTTGAGCCATCTCTCCAGTCCCCGCCCCCTTTTTATTTATTCGAGACAAGATCTTGCTAAATTAAGTTGCCAAGGCTGGCCACAAACTCATCATGTAGCCTTGGCAGATACTGACCTTGCAAACCTCCTGCTCAGCCTCCTGAGTGGGTGGGATTATAAATGTACATGACTGTATCTGCCTTAGAACCAGCTTTTCTTTTTCTTTTTCACATGTGAATGCTGTTTCCTGGTTAGGGTTACTTTGGTTCTAACAGTTACTTTGGATCCTCACACTCATTTGTTATTTTCCCTTAGTGTCTTATTTTACTTCACCTTTGATAATTTAACAAATTCTTTGTCCTCCAGTGGCTTAAGGTGATTTAGACTTTGTGAGTTAAATAACATAAATCATTACATGTTACACATGGTAGTGTGGTGACTGGTGTTTTGTTGGTAATCTGCCTTAAGATGGTTCATCTTAGACAATACATTGTGGAACTTTTATAATGTGATGGGAAGCCACTTTTAAATAGCTATATTTCAAAAGCTATTGCTCACATGTCTCTCCTACACATTCCCTTTAAATCTGCAGCAGACAAGACTGATTATACATCTCACATATATTCCTTCTAGAGAGCCAGTCTGCCCAGTGTGCACTATCCTCGTGTGGCTTCTGCCAACAAGCAGTTTTAGGGTACAGACATGAGAAGGATCTTCATTCTGTTTTCTCATAGAGCCACTGAGGGCAAGCACACCCAAAGAAATATCTAACAAAGATTCAAAGGCTCTCTTTCCCCTAGAGTTCCCTTCCTTTGATAAACCATCAAAAATACTTTGTCTTAAAAAACCTGAGACGAACATGGTTGAAAAGCAACAAACTCTGAGAAAAGTTAGGAGATTTACCCAATTCAACTAGTCAGTGGCAGAGTCCAGAGTTTAAAACATTTGTCTTTTCATAGGTGCTCCAGAAGGTTCCAGGGGGTTGGAGTGACAACTAGGAGATAGAAGGCAATCTGAGGGTATATACCCATCCTTCCCTTCCTGCATAGCACACAATAAAGCAGTAAGGAGTGATGGTCAGGGAACGGAGCTGCAGAACGGCACCCAAATTCTTAAAGACCTTTTATAACACTCTGCAAACTCTCAGGTTTGTCTGAAACATGCAAGAGTATTGCATAGAGACTGTTAAGAGATCCCATGTGAGGCCACCTGCTGATCCCATCATTACTGCAATTCTGGTGGCATGGGTACAGATCAGTGTACCTTCAATGTTTTGAATATTTTTGCTTTTATGACACTGCTCATGATGTTCCCAGTGAAATGAAGCTAAGCCATAAGCTATGGTCTCCAAACATCTCACATTAGCACATTTCTGTAAAACAGTCCCATGTAACATTCCATTGAAACCTCACTTACTCCCACCAGCTGATGCTGACAAGTAGACACCCCATCCTTCCACATCTTCATCCCACTCAACAAAAGAAGCAATGTTTCTAATAAAGTGACATCTGTTCAAGCTTCTTGTGCCTTGGCCCCTGTTGTCCCTGAGGATCTGCACTCTTCAATAGGCACCGGAACTTGCAAAGGACCAAGCGAGAGGCATAGGGCCTGCACTGGTGTAAAACAAAAAATACTAAGGTTTTATCTGGGAGGAAATGATGAAAACACTCACCTACAAAAGAATTGTTCATCTAACAAAAGGTTAACTAAGGATTCCTTTAAATAGTGCTCTTCACAAAGGTATGCCAAAGTCTACCTGACTCCAAGAATATCATTGACAAATTTTAGGAACAGCTTTTAATCTAAAGAAAAATGCAGAGGAGTGCAGGGTGGGAAGGGTTCTGCAGGGGAAGACATTGCTACATCCCTCCTGCTGATTCTGATGGCTTCCAGAGCATGGTATGCATTTCCAGAAAAAAGAAATCATACTGGATACCAAATCCCAGAAGGCAGGGCACCTCACCTCCTCTGAAGGCCTACCAGGCATGAGAGGAATACCCACCCAAGGCTTCCTAATGAACTGATTGGGCATGTAGCACTCTGAGTGAGCCTTGCAACAGCAGAGACAGCATGTCAGAGAGGAAACTTACATGAAGAAATGTCTCTTCCCTCTAAAAGTAGTAACTCCCTAGAAAATAGAACTTGAGGCTAATAAAAGGACAAGTCTAGTCCAGTCCAGCCCTTCCATATCAATGCTAAATGTGGAAAAAATTAATTGCTTATGACTTACAGATTGAGTTTTAAAGTTTTTACCAAAAAATTTTAAAAAGTTATTTTGCTGTTTATGCATCAACTGTACAACTGGGAACTTGTTCGTACCCTCCAGGGAGAGTGGTATAAAGAGTTTAAAAGGCCTTTATTTCTCAGTAACTGGGTTTGTCTTTCATCCTTTAACACCGTTCCTCAGTTCCTCCAGGAAAATTAGTAGGCAGTCCTTTTCTATATAAGTGGGGAAAGGCTTATTTGCATTTTAACATCATCTACGCTTTAATGAGATTATTAGTGACATTTATTTTCGGAGCTGGGTGTAGCTCAGTGGTGATAGCCTTGTTCAGCATGTGCTGTGAGGTCTTGGGATTCTGTTCCAGCACAGAAACAAAATACACAATAGTCATTTGTGATGGTCAGACCAACCTGAACTAAACTGACATCAGCCTCAGAGACAGAGCTATGTGCAGGGGAAGCTATGTATTTTTTCTTTTTTAAGGCAAAACCAAAATGAAATATGTATTAAAAATGCCATATGGAAACCTATGACTTCATAAGCTAATTTTAAAAATGTAAAAGGCAATTAATTTATTATTTCTAATTCGTGTTATTTGATTGGCTATTAACAAATCATAACTGTATAAACTTAAAGAATGATACTATGATCTGTGAATGATGTGGAATGACTGACTCAAGATAAAAAGCATATCTCTCCCCTCAAACACTCATCAATTTTGGAATGGATTTTGAAATCTTTTCTCAAACCTGGCCCTCAGGATGCTGAAGAATAGGGTACGGAAGCCAGGGGTACATACAGGTATACGGTCCTAATGTCTCTGTCTTCCTGTACCACTGAAAATTTCCATAACAGAAAAGTTTAAAACTTGCTCTCTTCACAAGCCCCTCTTTTTTTTTTTTTTTTTCCTTTATTGAACAATGCCAGCTGGTTTACAACTATTCATCTTCTCCTAGGCAGACAGTGGGAGGCGGTAGGGAGGCCACAGGGTAGGAAGAGAACCTTATCAGCCAGGGGACCAGGTTTGCCCTAGCAAGGGGTCAAAGCGTTGGAGAAAGCTAAAGAGCAGGGACACTTCCCCACATATCCACAGGCCCTGCACCTGTGGTCTGAATCTTCAAAAGGACAGTCAACCACCACAGGCACAACATGCAGTTCCTCTGAAAATCTTGGCTTTCTACAATCCTTCTCAGAACCCATCAGACTGCTGCAGCTACCTCGGTGGCCCCTTTTCCCTCTTTGAAGACCATTTCCCTGTACCCACACCCGCTGCTCCAACAACGACACCTTGGCAAAGAAAAGTTGGCTCTCTTTGGGTTTGCTAGGTGGCCTGTCACTCCAGCTCAGGATGCAGGTCTGTGCAGCCCGCCGGCAGCCCGGCGCCTCCGGTTTGGGTTCCGCTAAACTCACTGGCCTGTAGGAGGGGGACCCAGAGACACACAGACGCGAGTACCCATTGCCTGATTCTAAAAAGAAAAAGGAACAACCACTACTGGGTACTGCCCAGTTCCCCACATCCCCCAAATCAGCAAAGCCTCGCCCCCCAACCCTAGCCACTGTCTGCTGCACTGAACAGCTGACCTAGCTAGGAAAGGCTCAGGCACCTAGTCCCTGTCCGCAGCGCAGAGGCGCCACTCAGACACCGTAGGAGGGTGACAAGCACCTGAAGTCTGGGTGCCAAGTACCCAAGCTTCTGCCTGTCAGGGGACCCCACAGAAAATCAGGACTACCAGAAGACCCCTTCCTCTAGTCCTTTAAAAAAACAAAGTGACCCCTCCACTCCCAAAAACTCAACGGAAGGCGCCCACACCACTAGGGTCTTGCAGAGCAAGCAAAGCCCAAAACCCCTTCCTAAGGAAAGTGTTAACTCCGCGGCGACCTATTCCTCTCTCCAGTATTAAGAAGAGGGGTGCCCAGGAAAAGCAAGCTTGGAATCTGCACCCCCAAAGTGCATCTATGGACTCCCATTTCGGCGGCTCCCAAACTGCAGGTTGTCCGGCTGCCAGGGGCCAGGCATCTCAGGAAGCAGGGACTTGCCCAGGCTGGTGGTGAGGGACTCCGGAAGTCTCAGCCTTCACCCGGGTAGCCTGCTGTGCCCCTCATCTCATTCTGATGCGCCTGCACCCTAGTTTTCCTTGTGCCCTGCGCTCAGTGATCCAAAGCCCGCTTCCTTTCTCCGTCCCAAGTGGACCTCAGTGCCAGCTCCGTGGCTGCCAGCTCATCAACCCTTGTTGGACTCTGTAGGTCTCTATAGGGGTTGCCTGAGCCAGTTAGGCAGACGTCCCCCACCCACCCGCTCCAGGCCCTAGGCAGCCTGGCTCCGCTGAGATCCCAAGACTCAGTCTCACTAGGTCTCACCGACGTCGCACAGCATCCTCTTCACCCCGCCTGGGTACCGAAGGTGGCGAGGCGCCAAGGCGCAGTCTGGACCAACAGTACTGGTTGCTTTGCTCTGCATCTTCGCCCGGAGAACCCATGCCTCCAGGGTCCCGCCACCGCGACCCCGGGACTTACCTTGGGAGGCAAGCCGCCGCCTAGTGTGCGCGCTGCCAGGTGGAGCTAGACGCCCGCTGACGCCTGAGCATTCTCTGGAATCCAGCTCCCCGGCCCCCGCCCACCCCCGCGGTCCCCGGTTCGCCCGCGCGGCTCGGGCGCTCGGGACTTACCTCCGGGACAAGGTGACCCGGCTGGTACGCCCAGGCGGCCGCCCGCGTGTCTCCGGAGCCCGCAAGTGTGCGGGGCGCGGGGCGGTGTGGCGCCTGCCTCTGCTCCGCGGCTCGCGGCTCTCTCCGCCTCTGCCCTCCCCTGCGCGCCGCTCCCTCCCGCCGCTCTCCGCCCTGGGCTCGCGGCCAGCGCCCCGGGCTGCCCCGCGCACAACGATCCCGAGTGCCCGCGCGGGGCAGCCGTGTCGCCGAGGCGGAACCGGGTCCTCGCAGCCCCTGGCCGAAGAAAGGCCACTCTCGGAGACTTCCGGGGCGCGCCGCGGGTTCGAGGGCTTTCCACCGGGTGTCCGGGGGGCACGCCGCTCCCTTCCGCTTAGCCCGCGGAGCCGGGAGAGGCGTGCGGGAGGCGCCGGCTGCTGGCCCCAGGGGAAGGCGGCCGGAGAAGGACGGGGAGGAGGACAGGGAGCAGCCTCGCCCCAAGGTGGCCACCAACTTTCCCCCAGGCCAGCGGGGCCCTCGCGGGTGGCTGCTGATGGGTGTCCCCGGGCCAGAGTCTGGAAACGCGAGGGCGACCGAGGCTGGGGGGGAGGGGGTACAGCCACTGGGGACCGGGAAGACAGGAATTTGCAGGCGACTGTGGAAGCGATGGCTCCCCTCGGTCCTAAAGGCCTCCCCAGGCTCCGGGTCTGCTGGAGGTTTGGAAGAACCTACTCTGTAGGTCCGGGGAATGCCCAAGTCCTGACCAGCTAAATCCAGGCAGCAGCCGGCGTGAAGCTCATACTCAAGAGGCTGAGCCCGAAGCTCCTATCCAGCCTAGCGTTTGCCTGTGCTCAGCGGCCCACCCCAGTTGCCGCTGGAAGGAAATTAGTGCGGCGCCTGGGGGCTGGGGTGGGGAGACCGAGAAGTGGAGAGTGTTGCCACCGACTAGGTCCAGGGGAGCTGAGGGAGAATCGCCTACAGAGACAATCTGCGTTTCAAACGTTTGGGGGCAGTGGACTGCAAAAGGGATGTTTTCCTTAGAGATTTCACTGAGAAGGAACTAGAAAAATAGCTGAAAAGAAGGTCAAAAGTTATTTGTCTGTGCGACGTTTTTTCAACGACAGGCAAAGACCTGCTGCAGGCCAGCTCTACCAACCCAGGCTTTCGCCCTGGAGGGGGCGGGAGTCAACTCTGGTTATTGGTTATTCCATCATTTCTTACCTCGCATAGGCGCAGAACCCTTCCTCCCACCTGAAAGCGGCCCTGAGAAAACACTATCCATCCTGGACTCCTCCGGTTATTTCCACTTGGCTGCAGTTGGAGGTGGCCTGGAGTCCTGCCTGGGAACCTGCAGCACTTGGCTTCTGTGGACCCTCAGCAGCCAATGTAGAGAAGGCTTAAAATGCCACAGGAAAGAGGTACTTAGGGGCAGGGCTGGTCAGGTACCCAGGTGTCTGCATACAGCTCCTGCTCTGGCTAATCTGAGGTTCCTATTTACACCCGAATATCAATCCTATCTTCAACCCTGCAGTAGCTAGGCTTTCCTCCCCTGGTTCCCCTTAGCTGTAGGGCTGTCTGGAACAGAAAGAAAGGGACATTGTGCCGTTCAACCATGTAGGAACTCTTAAATTGGAGGAAAATGTCACCTTGCCTCTGTGAAACAGCTTAGGGGCTCTGGGTCCTTTCCTGAAAAGAACATTCTCTCCTGTCCTCCGAACATCTAGCTAAGCATATATTGTTAGACCCAGGTGAGAGGGAGAATCAATATTACTATTCACCAGATGAAGAAACTAAGGTTACAAAGGCTCAGCTTCCAAAACACAAGAGTCACCTGCAACTCATGATCTCTGTGTCTAAGGCAGTGCTCTCTTGCTATCCAGTCTTCAGATTGGCTTTTTCAGGTTTGATATTGACAGAGCACCTGCCTGGTTTACAACTGGGACTTGTCTTTGCCTCTAGGGCATTGTTGGAACTTTAAATTGGACTTTTCCCAATATGGCAGGCTAGTAATTTGTGGAGCATTTAAACCTGATCACAGTCCCTCATTAGCTCTGCTCCCTTCAAACTGAGGGCAGAAAGAAGAAAATGACTTTATAGTAGCTTCCAGTGTTAAGTCCCTGAGACCTGTCTCTATGTATTAGGGACTATGAAAGTTTTCCAGTGGGTGCTTTCCCTGGCCTTTCCAGGGGATATATGAGCACAAAAATCTATCTGTCCACAGATGGCTTTGAATTGGCTAGATAGAAAGGTAGATTCATAGGTAGTCAGGCAGGTAGATAGACAGATGATAAAGGTTTTTTGTTTATAAGTGAGCTTGGATTTCTGAGAACAATTCTTAAGACTTTAGTTCTTTTAATCTGCCTCATCCACTTTACCATTTAATGTTTTACTTTCCAATTATGGAATAGATGTCCCTCTCTCAGTTGAAGGGTAGTCTCCTTAAGTTGCCATATTTTACACAGGGCATGGCTCTTTGCTTGAGCACATCCCAAGCATTGAGTAAATGCTTAGTGACAGGTAGTTATTGAAAAATAAAAGCATACTGGATCATGCTGTCAAAATAAATGTCAGGCTGACAGAGCATTTACCTAGCATACATGAGGTCCTGAGTTCAATTCCCAGCACCACAAAAGAAAAATAGATGCCTATTAAAGAAAGAATAGCTTGGGAGGGGGGAAAAGAAACAATTCACACACTGTGGTACTTTTCTATTCATTATTCTTCTAATTATTTATTCCATGTCGTTATTCATGTCCATGTCGTTATTTATTCTATTCATTTAGCTTCCTGATCCCTAGGTAGCTGCTGCCTTTTCCTGACACTAACATCTCCCCCTCCTTCTGCATGCACACACGGAGTTTAGTGTTGCTGCAGTCCAAATGGGGATTTCATTTTGTTGCAGAAGACACTTACATTTCATTCAGAAGTCCTGTGTAAACAGGAATGTCACCTGCTCCTGACAGATGATGAAGTACCCTGTTGATCTGGAATAGTACTAGCACATGTGGGCCACTTTCTCCTACATGCAGAACTCTAGTTGCTCCTCAGGATGTAATCATAGTTATTTTTCTATGATACAACATTGAAATAAAGGATTTCAAGAAAGTCAGTGAAGAGCTGTCAACAGGACACCATAGAAATTGCTAATCTCCTGGAAATTGGCTAACCTCAACAATGCTTATCTCTTAGAAGAGATTACAGAACTCTTCCAGCTGAGAGAGGTAAGTGGGGCCAGTTCCTGTGTTGTGAGAACTGTCAGTCAGGTGCTGAGCAAGCTGTCAAGCCTTTGACCAGCTTTCAGGAGAAGCTGCTATGAGCTCAGAGATAGGTGGTGTGATAAAAGAAAACACAGATTTAAGAGTTTTTCAGATAGGAAATATTACTCAGTTTGTCTTGAACTCAAAAGGTTTAGACCTTAGGGTGATAAAAGCATCAGAATGCTATGCCTAGTTTTGGGTGTTAAAGACACACATTCAGAAAATATAAGATAGAAGAGCCCAACCTCCAATGTTAACTGAAATACCAAACATTAAAAATGTACCAAATTCTGGGGCTGGAGAGATGGCTCAGTTGTTAAGAACACTGACTGTTCTTGCAGAAGACTGGGGTTTGAATCCCAGCACCCACATGGCAGCTAACAACTGTCCATAACTCCAGTTCCAGGGGATCCGACAGACTCTTCTGTCCTCCGCTGTGGGGCTCTCCCTCCCCTTGTGGGCTGTTGGCTACCGACCCACTAGAACAAAGGGAGCAGAAACGATGAACAGGGTCAGGATGGCCAGTGTGGCCAGTGAGCATGACGGAAAAGACCTTCCGGGAGACTGCTTCAGTGATACAGCTCGTTTATTCAGTGGGGGTCAGGGAAAAGTATAGGGTGGAGATGGTAGCCAAAGCTTCACCTGATAGGTGTTCATAGTATGCTTTATTTGAATGTGGCAGGAGGACCCTATCATCTGGCTATAGTGCAATGCCTACTTATCATATAGAAAAAACCTGGGGGCAGTTTT